CCTCTCACCTCACACTCGGGCACAACCCTACAAAGGTCTCTGAGCCGACAGCGCCTGTGGATGTGAGCAAGAGCTCGGCTTTAAACTCCCAGGGATCTCTGTGGGTCTGCGCCTTCATGCTGCGAAGTGACTTGAGAACCGAGTATGTGCCTGGGTTTTCTGGCTGAACGGGACGGCAGAGGAAGCCGATTTTCCCAGTGTCTTGCTTTTTGAGATACAACACCACTACTTGTGTTTATTTTACTGAACAGCAGGTGCTGCAGACGGCTGGAGCTTGCCAGTGGGAGCAACAGGGGAAACTGTGCTGTAGCCTAAACATCTGTGAGCACACGCCCAGCACAGCGCCCGTACAGCGCGACAGGAGAACAGACCCTGCTGCTGAAACGCCTCCAACGCCTCCAGCACCTCCCAGCCCTTGGGTTTTACATCCTTGGACTTGCACACAATGCTGAGCACCGACGGCGTTTCAGCCACTCTTTCTTTTTCTCCATATAAAATACTCGCTGCTGCTCTGCTGCGATCTCATGGTCCTCCCCTCCCAAAAGTGGAGCTGACGCTGCTGGGATGAGAAACTGCGGACAGGCCCAGGCCATGTGGACCTCCCAAATCTGCTCCCCGAGGAAAGGAGCCTCCCTGACCGGGAGCCAGCACCCACAGATCTCCCAAATTACCCTTTGTGTCAGGCTTGCATTTTACTCCTCACTTCAGAATCAAAGGCAGGAGGTCGGTTTAGTCTACAGAAATACTATACATTTATGTCTGAGTGAATTTTAAACCTTTTTTTTTTTTTTAAGGACAGCATTTAGCAGTGAAGCAGTGGGCTCCCACAGCTTGGTCTCCAGTTCTGGTAAGGAAACAAGGACTGGGATTTGAGCAGACTGGAGCTCTCCTAGGGTCTGAGCAGCGATTCTCACACAACCAAAGGTCACAACTAGAAACTGAGCGTAGAAAGAGTCCCCAGGGGAATACGAAAAAGACGTCACCTTATGAAAGAGCTTCAGGATGAACATGTGAAATGAACAGCAACCAGACAGTTGCCTTTACAGAAGATGAAAATAAGAGTAGAAGAATATAGTAACATCTTAACCAGTCAGTCAGTCTGAATGCACCGGGGCACCAGATCCCTGCAGATCTGTGATGGACGCTAACGGCCAAAACCAGCTGGTCCCCTCCGGCCCCAGAGGGAGCCTGGGCTGCGGTTCACTCCTCATTCACTCCTCACCAGCCGGGAGATTGTCCTCGATCCTCCTGATGAACTTCATCCTTATCTCTGTGACGCTGTCACCCTTCAGCGTGTCCTGGACAAACTTCACATCCACGGCCATCTGCACCTGGGAAGAGGACAGAGGAGCTGTTACCTGCCTCAAAAGAGCAGCTTTTCTAGGAACCATCTCATCCTGAAGCACCAGTTTGAGGACCTGAGGGCGTGACGTGCAATGCAGAGCTCCAGGGAAGCACTGGGTTTTTAAGATCACATCTTCCCTCTACGTGGTGGGCAGCAGGCACCTCGTCTTGGCAATCAGAGCCCAGTTAACCCCATCACTCAGGGCTACACATCCTGCTGCTTCATGGCTGTTCCTCAAAAATATCAGCTACGCAAGATAATCAAGCCTAGAGGCACACAACTGTTCTCTTGGCCCAGCAAATCCCTATCCAGGGCCCACAGCAGTTACAAAGTGAGGACTGCAAAGCTTCATAAAAATGCAAGGAGGTACCAGTGCCTGTACTGGGGTCATAAGATGAAGGGGCTTGGTCAGCTGCCAGACACAACAGCAGCCAAGCACTCCTGGAGCTCTGCTCTTCTGGGAATGAGTTTGAAGCCCAAATCAAACGCAGAAGCCGCAGACACAGAGCAGACATCGGTGTCTGCTGATACCTTGGCTATTCACCTATCTGTCACACCGGAAGACAGACGCTGGCTCACCATTTCCAGGGCACCTCGCAGCACCCCGCACAGCAGGTTGGAATAGATGAGGGAGGAGTGGTTGTCGGGGAGCTCCACAAAGTCCACCAAGGGGTTGTTTTCCAAGATCAGGGAGAACTCGTCGCCGCCAGGACTCCAGTTGGTGATGCTCGGAGTGATCCCCAGGTACATTTTAAACGCTATCTGCGGTGTCAAACAGAGGATGAACAAGAACTCGTCCCATGGGGCAACAGCACAGCTTAGATCTTTGTAAAATTACTACAGGGTTTTGAAACCATCACGCCTTTCTCCAGTCCCCACCAGTCAGCAGCAGTCAGGGATCTAATTCTCTAGTTTCCCCCAAAAAGATCTCAGTCAAGCTCTCTGAACAGTCCCAGGAGTAGCAAATACTCCAAGCTCACAAGCAAAACCTGGCGAAGCCGTGCTTTGACAATTACCTTTGCAATAACATCTGCAGTTTCACGGAAATCGTGGCACCTCCCGACATTGGACCGGGCCAGAAAGTCTTCAATCAGCCGAACACCTATGTTGTAACCCCTGGGGATGCACCAGAGAGCAACAGAGGGGAAGAGCACAGCTTTAGAAAACCAGCCAATGCTTACAAAAAGAGAAAAAAATTACATCTGAGAAACAGCAGCATTAAATACAATTCAGTCTGCTGGGCTCTCGCTCTTAGAGCAGCACACGGACGTGCCACGCTGTGAACCTGAGCTCCACGAGGCCCCGCTGCTGCAGATCCACTTACATCTTGTCGAGCTGCTTGTTGACGTCCTCGTCGTTCTCGTAGTCCTTGCAGAGCTGGGTGACCAGGGCGCCGTACGTCAGCGTGAAGAGCTCCGAGTTCTAGGCAGACAAAAGGGATTCAGCACAAACCAACGAGAAAACGGGCTGAGCGCTGCTCGTCTGTGTCCAGCGCTGCTTCCGTTGGCCCGGAGAGGGGGAACAGAAACCTGCTGCCTCAAAGGAATTTGCTGCTTAATAAGGAGAGAGCCCAGTTCATATTTTGGCAACTTCAGTCCCCTTGGAAAGAGAAATACTCTTTGAGTAGGAGCAACTGAGCGCTTGCTGTCTCTGCCTCTCTCCACACAGAGCATTTCCCATTAACTTGTCCCAAATGTGACCTCAAGCAACAAGCCAGGAGGCTGCTCACACTCTGTGTCTGCTCTTAGCAACTCTCCTCAGCTGCCAATTAGCACCTCTGCTCTAACGAGCACATCCCCAGATACCTGGGATGACACCTCCAGGTCATTTCGTGTGCTGCTGACCACCTCCCGGATGGCTGCACCTGCACCTGCAGCTGCCAGGGACCAGAGCTACTTCTGCTGCTGACCCAGAGGTGCAAACTGGCTCAAGGTGCTGCCTGCCAGGCTGTGTTTCATGAACGTGCTGCAAGTGGGCAACGCTTGAGAGGCTCCGTTTCTGGTCATCCCAACAGGACAAGAAGTGCTCGTCCATTCCCAGATTTATTACATTCTGCTACCAAGAGAAAACAAGACTCATGTGGTCCCTAGAAAGTGATCCAGGCACACAATTTGCTTCATACATTAAAACCCAGAAGAGGAGCAGCAAGGACAGTTTTGGGACAGCAGATCGGTGCTGTGCACGTCTGCTCTCTGTGCCTGGCCAGGATTAAAGTGACCTGGGCTTTCACAGTTGCCAGGTTCACAGAAAACACCAAGGGAAGAGCTCTCTTCTCCTGGCCACCACCATCACGGATCCTCAACCTGAAGAAACCACGTCAAAGTGCATTTTCTTGGGAGCCATTAAACCAGACCAGCGATTAATACAGCCATTAACGGGGTCATCAACCTGCTTCAGCTTTTCACAGAGCCTGAGGGAAGTGTTTTCCAACCATCACAATTTAGTTCTATCAGTTTTAGTACTCAGAAACATTAGAGAGGCTAATCTCAGATTAAAAGCCTATCACCTACCATGAGATGCATAGATGCAGAAGGTGAAATGAATGGCAAATACCAATACTACAGAATGAAAGCAGCAGGCAGAAAGGGAGGGAAAAGAGACAACATCAGAGTTAGGTGACAACACTGACCGCACGTCATCCTCAACACTACACCAAGCAAGACAAACACAAGGGGGAATCGCCCCCACATTCAGCAAAGAGAAACTGGGGCTGTGAGACACAGGGAATCCCACCTTGTCCTTGTGCTTCACTTCACCAAGCAGCTGCCAAAAGGCTTAAAGCACACAGAGAGAACCAGCCAGGCTCCTCAGCACTTCTGCCTGATTTCAGAGCTGAAGAACCGATGCATTCTTTGATTTTTTTAGTGTTTTTTTTCTTTTAACTTATTACAATTCTGCTTTCATCTTGGAAAGACAAAAGTTGTGCAAGTTCACATCGCCCAAGAGCGATCGAAGCACAAGGTGGAAGCCTCCTTTAGCTCAGCTGGCAGAGTCAGGCACTTGGCAGAGAAGTTAACAAGCATGCAGAAAAAGGTTATGCTGTTGTTAAGGATTTCAGTACTTTTAGTAAAGATCGGGCTCGGCAGCTGGAGAGCAGGGAGTGCGTGGATGGAGGAGATCCAGCTGTGACCAGTCCCAGATGTCATCACTCTCTGTTATCAGCCCCAAAGTGCAAACCCAGCGCTGGCCATCGCCTGCAAGGCTGCTACTGGGGTAACTTCAAAGTATTGTAACGAGGCAAACTTCTAAATTTATATTTATAAACAAAGTCTGCATTTTCATTCCACCCGATGGAATCAAAGTGCCTGATGCTTTTATTATTTATATTTTCTCTGTTGTGGCTTAGTGCACAGTCTCAACATTACAGAGCTGTTCTGTGGCTACAAAACCGTCAGAATCCTAACGAAGTAACACCAATTCCTTAAACAAATCGTTGTATTTAGGGAGTTTAACCCCCAGAAGAAAACCCCTCATGGTATGGAGGGGGCAGGAGCTGCCTGGCCTCTGCTGAGCCAGATCCAGCCCCTCAACATGGCCAAAGAGAGAGCAAATAGACGTATTTTATTTGTATTGCTTGTTCCAAATGCTGACATTGTATCAAAAGTGGAATAATTTGATCTGTTTTGAGCCAGAATCAGACCCCGGCCCTGCA